CTGGGGGAAGTATTCCTTTGCAGGAACTGAATGTTCTTCATGTATAACTGAAGGTCGCTGCCTCCATGAAGAAATGTGCGTCTCTGTATCACGCTGCACCTTCCTCCCACACATTCCTGTAGAGTTACAGCCTGATCTATGGCAACTAGAGACTCCCTTTTTCAAATAAAGAGCGAGGAAGGAAGCAGAGGGGTTTAACTGAGTTACATCTCTGCTGCTCTGCCTGCTGGTTAAAACTAACCAGACTCTTGTCCTTCTTCCCCAGGTTATTTCCTAAGTGTTTGGGTGTTTAAACCTAACAATGCTACATATCTGCTATCAGTCTGTTGTAGAGAGCAGGATCTATTCTGCCATCAACTGCTGGGGTAACAACATTAGAGCTAAAGACTAAAGAAAGCTCAATAAGCTGATAAAGAAAGCCGGCTCTGTTCTCTGGAGATTATTTCACAGAGAAGAATTCTTCATAAAGTGAAGAACATTATAGGCAACAGTTTTTAAACAACAGAGTCTTCATTCAGAGGCTTCAACGTCTGTTTAAAAACAACTTATGAATTACTGCAACATTTTATTTCTCTCTGGGATTAATAAACTTGTGCTTCAACATTTAAATGCCGTCTGAACAACCAGCAGCTGCTTTGAAGTCATCCTGTCAGGTTTATGTGCCAGAAACAGCCCTGATTAAGGTGATCAATGACATTCAGACTGTGGAAGAACCACAGTTCTGGTATTATTGGACCTCAGAGCAGCATCTGAATCTGTTTATCACTTGATTTTATAGAGCGTCTGGAAATCTATGTCAGTCTTTCTGGTTCAGCACTGGAGATGTTTAAATCCTCCCTAAAGGACAGAGATTTCTATCAGTCAGTGGGGAACTTTAAATCAGAGACCAGAAAAAAAAACAATCACATGTGGGGATCCTCAAGGCTCCATTCTGGGGCCCCTCCTATTTTACATCTACAGGCTCCCCTTGGCTCTGATTCTAGCAACCACCCAGATCAGTTACCATGGCGATGCAGACGACACACGGCTTTACATCCTAATGTCAGCAGGTGGCTATGAACCATCAGAGTGTTGGTTAGATGCTGAGAACAGATCAATCTGTGTATCATTTTCTACAAAGTGAGGAAATAATCTTATAATAATAATCTTAGAGATCCAGAGTTAGATCCCAGCTTCAGCTGCTGCAGCAGAAACCACCGATTATGGCTGAAACCTGGATGGACTCAGACCTGAACCTTCAGAGGCTCAGAAAGACAGTTACTGAGTCAGACTTTGATCACCTGAAGAACATCTCCAGGATTAATGGACTGATGATCAGCAGGATCTAGAAAAATATCTATAGTAGAACTGATCACTGCACCAGATCCTGCATAGGTATGACTAAAGAGTCCATCAGAGACTAAAGATGATCTGAAACGCTGCTGCCTGCGTCCTCACTAGAACTATAGAAAGTAGATCAGACAGCTGCAGTTGATCCAGATGCTGCTGCC